GTGAAACAATGGCTGTAGAATTTCATGCAGAACTACTCCAAGGGTGGTGTAATTTCAACTGGCACAGTGGGAATTGGATTAATCCCATTATGGGAGGCTCGTGAATCGTGTCCAGAAACTTCCTTCCACATAATGTAGGTACGATCTGTTCAGTCTCCTCTCCATCTTTGTCTTCTGTGAAAATGGTCTTGCTTCAGCATGTGAGGCGAACTCCGAATGATGACGAGTTTGAGTTTGATTGGAAAAGAAGGAGGAGCCTTTTACCAGTAGTGAAACTCTCAGCTTGAGTGACATTGATTGTTTCTTCAGAACTGGGTTTCTTCAGGGCTTACTGGCACCAGGTAATTCAAGCATGAGTTATCTCTGTGCCCTCATGCTTAAATCTGTCATCCTGCTTCATATGAGATGTGGTTAGCCAGGTGCCTTGGATGGGACAGGGTCAGGCTCCTCTAAGCCATCTTCCTCCATCATAGAGACAGGCCTACCAAAGCAAGATTTAAAACTGGATTAAAGAATGATATATCCCCAAGACTGTGATTCACACTTTTAAAGAAAAAGGCTTTTGGAAATAGGAATCACATATTTAACTGATTCTTTTGCTTTAATAAGATGACACTTCTATCTTCTCTTACACTCATAATTTAAATGCTAGATAATGTGATTTTCAAAGAACTGGCAACTGTTAGCTTAGAAAAAAGTCTTTATGCATTCCCAGCTATATGTGTTGAATTTTATTAGTGTTATTATATAAAATAATAATACATGCAGTAGTAACTTTACAGAACCTTATTTTACTGTTTGTTATCATGCACAATACCAGATGCATTGTAGTGGTTTGACCCTGGCTGGTGGCCAGCTGCCCACACAGCCACTCTGTCACCCCTCATTCTCTGCTAGACAGGGGAGAAAAATATATTGAAGGGACCATGGTTTGAGATAAGGACAGAGAGGTCGCCCACATCTACTGTCACAGGCAAAACAGACTTGTTTTGGGGGAAATTAGTTAAATTTATTAAAGAACAAATCAGAGAAGAGTAGTGAGAGATAAAAAACAGATCTTAAAAAAAAAAGACACACCACCATCCCTCCCTTCCTCCTGGGCAAAACACCAGTCCTAGTTTATCCACCTCTCCCCCCTGCACCACTTGGGGGACAGGGAATGGGGCTGCAGTCAGCTCATCCGATGTCGTTTCCACTGCTGGTTCTTCCTCCGGGGGAGGACTCCTCACTCTTCCCCTGGGCCATTGTGGGGTCTGTCTCATGGGAGACAGCCTTCACACACATTTCTCCAACGTGAGTCCTCTCACAAGGGGCAATTTGTCACAAACTACCCCAACATGAGTCCCCTCACGAGGGGCAGTCCACCCCAACGTGAGTCTGGGGTGCAGTCCTTCGGGGGAAACTGCTCCAGCGTGAGTTCCCCGCTGCATCACAGAAGTCCTTCCAGCCAACCTGCTCTGGTGTGGGCTTCTCTCTCTCCATGGGCTACAGGCTCTGGCAACAACCTGCTCCAGTGTGGGCTTCCTACAGGGTCACAGCCCCCTTCAGGCATCCACCTGCTCCAGTGTGGGGTCCTCTATAGGCTACAGGGAGGCATCTACACCCTGTCACACCCATGGGCTGCAGGGGGACAGCTTCACCATGGCACAGGGGACTGTCTGCTCCGGCGCCTGGAGCACATCCTCTCCCCGCCTTCTTCACTGACCTTAGTGTCTTCACAGATTCTCACTCCTCTGTCTCTCTGCCAGTTGGTGTGTGGCGCAGTCCTTTCTTCCCTGATTCTTAAATATGTTTTCACAGAGGTGTTCCTCTCCTGTCATTACTGATCGACTCAGCCTTGGCCAGCAGCGAGTCCCTCTTTGGAGCCGGCTGGCATCAGCTCTATCAGGCTCAGGGGAAGCTTCTAGTAGCTTCTTGCAGAAGCCACCCCTACAGCTGCTCTGTCACCAAAATCTGGCCAGGCAAACCCAATACATGCGTTTATAAATGCCAGGGGCTTTATTTTAACCAGACTGCTCTGGAAAACTCTTTAAATGAGCTCTTCAGGAAAGACTGGATATTCTGGCATGCTTTGGTGTGAGCATCTGTTTTCAGCCATGAATTTTAGATACAGTAAAACAGACAAAGTCTTAGGTCTCTATTTTGAAAATGTTGTGTAAAGCAATCAAGATACAACAGGAGAAATCCCAGGCTGTGTGAATGTTAATCCATGTAAGTGGAAGTAGAGTTTGAGCCTATAAAAATTCCTTAGAAAACAGTGACCAGATTTCAATAATTCTGTATTTTAATGTGCACTTAATTTGCTTTACCAAATTAGAAATTGTCCCTGAAGATTGTAGCAGGTAGCAGGTTTTCTATTTAAAGAATATTTCTAAGAAATGGTTTTCCCCAAAGTCCACAAGTGTAAGGAGCGTGTGCCTTTTGTTACGTTATCCTGTTAAGGAAACAGCATATTCAAATAATGGTGGACAAATTTAAAGTGAAATCAGATTAATTTGAAACAATCTGCAATTAAACTCTCTTTTCCAGAGGGATGCTAAGTACAAGGGAAGTGAGGCAGAGTGATGAGCTCTTGCAATTGCTTCTTCTCTGACAGGAGAACAGGGTGTTGGAGAGGGGTTTCTAACTCTGGGAGTGCTGGAACTGGATTGGATTCAGGTGTATCCTGTCAAGTGGCTGGATATGGATTGCTCAGCACTTAACACAATTGCATTTTCTCGCTTTGTTTTGTATTGCTATTTTTTTATTTCAGTTGTTTCAAATTATTGAAAATCGACTCTGATCTTAACACATATTCTGCTTCTTAAAGAACATTGTGAAACCAGATCAGCAAGGTGAGAAGGGAGCTGTGTATTGGTGGTGGGGAGAGACGTAGAAGATGCTTCTAGATGTTGCAGACACACTGTCTCTCTTAAATTTGAGTTAAAACCGAGTTTAAAACCAGGGGCAGGAAAATACTGTCTTTTCCGTGAAACAGTGCTTGACTGCAAGGTTGTGGGCTGCCCTGTGCTTTTTGCAAAAGCTGCTCTTCCTATTGGAGAGAACATTGGAGCAATCAAATCTACACTTACGTGTTTTCCTGGCAGAAGTCAGAACTGCAATGGAATTGATCACATGGATACTGAGAAAGTGGTGATCATTATGTGTCAGGGAAACATAAAGAGTTTCCCTGGTTTACGAACACCTTGCCTGCGTGAATGTGTGTGTCACCTGTTTGCTTATGTATGCAAAACACGCCTATTTTATTACATGCTTATGCTTCAATAATAAAATTATTTCTGCCTGTGGGTGTAGGCAGAATGACGTATTATAAGATGATTACATTCTTTTCCCTTTTTCCTATTTCCCACTACAAAATTAGGCATTGATCCTTTAGTAAGTTACATTCAGGTAAATGGGTCCACCTGCAGGAACTGATTTGGAAAATCAGGGCTGTTTAGTTTCTTGAACACAGCTGCAGTAGGACTCCTTGTGTTAAAAAGCATGACAGCAAAAATAGAATGTAAAATCCTTTTTCCCTTGGGGAGAATCCACTCTGCTGGAAATGAATTGGCTGTCTGAGATTAGACTTCTGGAAGATCTGTGTTCAGTTTTCTGTTAAAAACGTTAAGATGATGGCATAACTGAAGGCCTGGGTGAAATACGACTTAACGGTTAAACATATCCACTTATGGATTTGACGGCGTGGTATGCAGAGGTCTTCTGATCAAGCAACAGTTCACCGGATGCAGAAAAATAGCATCAGTGATCAGTGTGTGACCTTGAAAGTGGTCATAGGTCTTCCTCTGCCAGACTGGCCGAAGGAGAACAGAGAAGTTCTGTTTCCCAGTATGAGTTGTTGCTTATCTGGAAGAAGTAACTGAAAGTGGGGATTTTTGCTGTTCTCAAATAATTGCAGTTCTTGGAATTTTACATACATGAGAATTGCTTATAGAAGTGAGCAGCTCTCCCCTCAAGAGCATTTGAAAAATCTCAGTAATAGCAAGTCCATTCCTTGAGGGCCGGAGCGCTACTTCTGTTTGATCAGCTTGTACTCCAAGGCAGATCACCTTTAGGTTTTTGCTTACTTTTCCTGTGCATGTTGACAATTCTGAGTGTCGGATTTGAGTCTGTCTTAATGGCATTTCAATGTACCTCAAAACCTCTTTATACAACACTGGATTTTAAAAAAATGTTCAAAATCATATAATGAAAATGCTAGTTTATCCCTTCACTCCTCTTCATTCAGTGAGGCTAAAAATGTAGGATAATTAATTTTTAGAAATTGCAAAAGACTAAAACATTTTATTTCCTTGTAAAAAAAAGAAAAAAGATTGTGGTTTAATGAACAAAGGAAGTCTATCATGCAGTCTTTGTTGTGGTCAGTGAAACTTAGGTTTCTGCTTGATTTCTGGAAATACGCTGTGGAAAACACCGCTGCTCAAATGCTGGTAGAAAATTAAGACTTGGGAAAGAAGTATATTTGTCATTGAGCTAAAGTGGAAGAGCCGAGATAAAAGATTAAACAATGCTTTTCACAGTTGAGATACAAAGACGTGTGTTCAGTGAGAGGATGTCCTTTCAAGCTTTTTTTTCCAACCTACCTTCTTGAATACTATTGCCTTGGGTTATTTGAACACTAGACAACAGGCTGTAGGAATCAAATTTATCTTTTTTTGTGTGTGAGTTGAAAAAGTTTTAATAAATATTGAATTTGATATGTAAAAACTACATTGTTTAACATCACTCCTCAGGAATATTAGCTCCACAGTGTTTGTCTCGGTGACATGCTGTACTAGTGAGTGTCAGCAAATCAGCATTACTCTTTTATCAATATGCTGTTCAAAGAAAAGTTTGCCCTTGGCAGACACTTGAAAGGCTCTGAACATTTTCATGTATTTTTCAAAACTTGGATAATTTTTTGGATGTTTGTGTTCTAGGGATGATTTTTTTTTTCTGTGTCCTGTGAAATTTTACCTAAAATGACTTTGAAATGCAAATAATTTTTTTTTCCTCCACAGATGAAATCATGCATCAGGATATCACTCCCCTCTATGCTGCAGATATTCAGGACCAGTTAAAGAAACAATTTGCTTACCTGTCAGGTAAGACCATAGTTGTTCCCTTCTACACACATTGCTCAGGTTAGACCTGTTGCGCTTTCATAATTTTTGAGGTCTCTTAAAGGAGAAATTAATATTTTATGAGCAACTCAAAATATAGACTACTAGTACTTGTTTAAGGATTTAGGAAATGAAGATTTTTATATATATATAAAAATTTTTTTTAGAAGAGTAGTAGGAACTTTATATTAGTTCAGTTTCCAGGCTAATGGAATGGAATTGAGGATAGGATAAAAGAATAAACAGAGGAAAATAAATAAGGAAGCACTGATGAATCTGGTAGAGGAACATGTAGTCACCTGTAGTAAGTGCTAAGGGAGATGAGCCCCCGCAGTGCTTGGAGCTGAGACAGCTCGAACGCTGACCCAGAGCATTCTGAGCTGAGTGAGCCCTCCCCAAAAGTTGGAGAGTGCGGTGTGGATGCACTGGGGGGTGCTGTGGTCTCACAATACTTGG